AGCCAGAATAAGGGCAGGCAGGTTGGGCTTTGCTGCAGCATCAGCTGGCAAGTGCTGGGAATGGGGGCAATTCCTGTCAAGCTAGACTGTAGAACCACCTGCAGATTGCAAGATCTGGGGCGAGGAGTGTATACATGGGGAGGTTGTGGGCTTCTCTCTGATGGTCTGCAACTCCCACTGGTGAGCATGAGAACCAGGATTGGGGGTGAGCCTGGCTGGACAGGAGGTAGCACCCTCTGGCAGGAGTGTGGGCTGGAGGGTGGAGGCAGTTGACCTGAGTTAGGCTTCAATGCCCAATGTTATACCTGAGATCTCCATGGGATATGGGGCAAACTGGACCAGTCCGCTGTACATGCTGGCAGACACAGGAACTAGAGCTGGGGGACCAGTCCAGTGGGGGTTATTGAGGGTCATTCTGACTGGGCTGCAGTTTCCCCTGTGGTACATGGGGCCCGAGCGTGTGTTGGACAGGGCTGGGCTGGGTTGCAACACCCATTGGATTGCTGAGGATGGAGGGTAGACCAAACTGATCAACTACCCCAGTGAAGCTTGACAATAAATATCTGTGCTAATAAAGACTCAGAGGTAAGCTATGACAACCAACCAACCTTGGAAAGAGTTCCTCATTCTTGGAGTGGCGATATCAGCAGCATCTCTGAACTATCAAAACCACATGAGCAGAACCCTCAGAAAACGTTCCACAATGGGATGACATCAGGTGGCAGCTTCCCACCTCCTGGGTAATGTGGCGGTTGGAAGCTGGGCATGGTTTCTCTTTTTGTATCCCCCTATCCTCCAACTACAAGAAGAAAAACAAAATATGTGAGCAATGATCTCATATACTATCCCCTGATCCCCAACCCTTCCCCCCCGATCAACTATGTAAACATCATCAAAAATAAATTTTTAAAAATTAAAAATGTAAATAAATAAACAAAACACAGAGAGAGATCTTCCATTTGCTGGTTTACTTCCCAAATGATTGCAATGGCCTGGACTGAGCCAGGCTACCATCAGGAGCTTCTTTTGGGCTTCACACATGGGTGCAGGGACCCAAGGACTTGGATTATCCTCTACTGTATTACCTAGTGCATTAGCAGGGAGCTGGATTGCAAGTAGAGCAGCCGGGATTGGAATTGGCACTCATATGGGATGCTGACACTAGGGGTGAAGGCTTAAGCTCCTATGCCACAGAGCCAGCCCACGCCTGCATATTTTTCTTAAATGAACCTTTGACTCCTACCTCACACCATATACACAGTTAATACATTTAAAATGAGTCAAAGGGAGGCTGGCATTGAGGAACTGCCACTAAAGTTGCCACCTGTGACACCAGCCTCTCTTATGAGCAGGTTCTGGTAACAGCTGCTCTATCCCTGACCCAAAGCATGGTCTGTGCTTGGGCCCCTGCCACCCCCACCAGGGACCCGGATAAACTCCTGGCTCCTGGCCCTGCTCTGGCACTGCAGCCAACTGGCACATGGAAAATCTCACGGTAACTCTGCCTTTCAAAATAAATCAATAAATCTTTTTTTAAAAAATAAAACAAATAAAATGAGTCAGAGATCCCAATTTAGAAGCTGAAACCACTTAAGAAAATAAAAGAAAAAAAAACCTGTGGCCTTGGACTAGGCAGAGACTCAACAGGCCCCAGAAACATGAACCATAAAAGGAAACACTGATAAGTGGGTTTCATTAAAGTTTAAAGTGTTTGCTCATCAAAAGATATTGTTAAACTGTGGTCTAGCAGACAAACTCTACCAAATATGTATCTGACACAGAATCCGTAACCAGTAAATACACACAAGGCATCAAGATTCAATAATAATAAATGTTTTAAAGATTTATTTTTATTTGAAAAGCAGATTTTACAGTGAGGGAAAGAGAGAGGTCATTATCTTCCATCCACTGGGTCACTCCCCAAAGGGCTGCAGTTGCTGGATCTGGGATGGTGTGAAACCGGGTGCCAGGAGCCTCTTCTGGGTCTCTCATGTGGGTGCAGGACTTGAGCCATCCTCTGCTGCCCTCCCAGGCCACAAGTAGGGAGTTGAATTGGAAGTGGTGCAGCTGAGACTTGAATCAATGCCCATACGGAATCCTGGAGCATGCAGCTAGAGGATTAGCATGCAACACCACAATACCGGTCCCAACGATAATACATCTTACCAAGAGTCAAACAGATATTCCATCAGGGAAGATACATGAATGGAAAATGGGCACATGTGAAGGTGGTTGGCATCATTAGTGGCAAGGGAAATGAAACTTAAGGCTGCCAGGAGATCCTATAGAGACCTATTACAATGGCTAAAAATAAAGATAAATGGCAGTACCAAAAATTGATGCAGATACAAAGTAGCATGGACACTCATACAAGGGCTGGGGTTGTAACACAGTGGGTTAAGCTTCTGCTTGTAACTCCAGCATCCCCTGTTGGAATCCTGGTTGCCCTGGAGGATGGCACAATACCTGGGCTCCTGCCACCTTTGCTGATGCTGGTGCTAGGGGAGTTCAGCATGGACTTCCTGGGTCCTGGCTGCAGGCCTGGCCTAGCCAAGCCACTGTGGCATTGGGGGAGTGAACCAGCAGATGGAAGATTCTCTCTCTCTCTCTCCTCCCTCCCTGATGCTCCTCTCTCTGTTATCCTGTCTTTCAAATAAATGAATAAATCTTAAAAAAAAAAAAAAACAACTTGTGCATTGCTGGAGAAATGCAAAGTGGTATATCCACTCCTTGAAATAGTTTGACCTCTTTCTTTTATTTTGTGAAAGTAAACCACCACATGACTCAGCAGTGCCATTTTTAGATCTCTACGCAAGAGAAATGGAGAAATGTGACCGTGCAGAGACCTGCCCAGAAATGCTCATGGTGCTTTACTTAACAACATCCAACAGTGGCAAGTGGCTAACAAGTGAGTGGCACATCTACACGACCATACCTGCGCAGCCATGACATAAACTGCCGACACGTACATAGCAACAAGGCTGAACCTCCAACACCTCACACCGAGCCCAAAGAAACTCATCTTCTATTATTAGTGGTAGTATTCGAAAGGCAGAGCCACCACTGCAGAGGAGGCTGCCTGCAGAGCGCCCAGAACTCGGGATTTGCTGCTTCGCGGATGCTTTCGTGGCCTCCTGGAGGCGACCGCAGAGAGGCCCCCCTCCCCAGCTGCCGTGGCAGCCAGCAAGCAGTCTCCAGCGCCGATCCCTCCTTCCCCGGGCCAGCCTGCTGGGCGCCTGTGCTCAACTCCACCTTGCTGGGAACCTCGGGCAGAGTCCACGGTGCGGGTGCAGGATCCTGTGGACTCTGAGACCTTGCCCGGAAGTGACTGCATGTACTCTGCCGGGAGGCAGTGGGTGCAGAGGGTGTGGAAGTTGACAGCGGGTCTCCCCATTTCCGGCAGGCTCCATTTCCAAACCTTCCCCTCCTCCACTACGTGTGTGTTGTGTGGCTGCTCTGTCCCTTCCCATCTGGGATGCACTTCCTGCATTGCGCCCTGCCCTTTTCCACCTCCTCCAGGCAGCTTTCCCTGATCACCCATGTTCCTTTACCAGGGGGTTGTGCAGGGAGAGTGCATCTCTGGTACAGCCAAGGTCCCTGTAAACTGACAATGGGACACAGGCAGGAGGCTCTGAGCCATACACCAGGTCCACCACCTGCCAGCCCGTGGAGCTGGTGAGTCACACCAGGTGGACGCATCATCCGGAAAGTTCTTCTAACAGCTGCGCACAGCTGGATGAGGGTCTGAGCCAGAGCCAGCTGAGGGTACCACTGTCACTGCAAAGTTGTCAATGCCTGGTTTTCCTTTTTTAAAAAAAAAAAATGGTTTATTTTTTTATTTGAAAAGCAGGTTTTACATAGAGAGGAGAAAAAGTGAGAGCTCTTCTGTCCACTGGGTCACTCCCCAAATGGCAGCAAGAGTCAAAGCTGAAGCTTGTCTGAAGCCAGAAGCCAGGAGCTTTGTCCTGGTCTCCCACATGGGTACAGGAGCCCAAGCACTCAGGTCATCCTTCATTGTTCTCCCAGGCCATAAGAAGGGAACTGGATGGGAAGTGCAATGGCTGGGGCACTAACTGGTGCCCGTATGGGATGCTGGCACTGCAGGTGTAGGATTAGGTTGCTATGCCACCATGCTAGGCTCATGGTTTTCCTTTCAGCGGCACATCAAATAGATGCAAGCTAAGCTTGGTATGCTCCTAACTTTGATGAACCCTGCCATGGTCCCCTGTAGCACTAATGAAGGACCACCTACAATGTGTCTGCAAAGAACATTCCCCTCTGGGGTCGGTGCTGTGGCACAGCGCATTAAGTCACCAGCAGCACTGGCATCCCGTATGTGGGTTGTCTGAAACCCTAGCTGCTCTGCTCCTGATCCAGCCCCCTGCTAACACGCTTGGGAAGGCAGTAGAAATGGCCCAAGTGCAAGACTCCTACCATCCATGTGCAAGACCTGAAAGAAGCTATGGGCTCCTGGCTTCAGACTGGCCTATCTCCTGGTCATTACGGCCATTTGGGGGAGAGAACCAGCAGTTGTAACTCTGTTATTTATATATATATAACTTATATTATATATATTATTATAATATATATAGTATTATATATATAATAATATATAATACTATATATAATAATAGAATAATAATATATATAATAATATATATTATATATTATTAATTATATATAATAATTATATTATTTATATTATTGTATTATTTATAATATTATATATAAATAAATAATACACACACCAGTTGTCCCCCCTCTGCAGAACCAGGACAACGCTCCCAACCTGATCCAGCCACTCCCAGGCTACATGAGCCCATCTCTGCACTAAAGATGCTTTCCAGTGGGAAGGGTCTCTGTGGCGCAGCCCAGCTCTCTGGAGCCAGAATCCTGGAGGATTCACACTGCTTGTTTGTTTATCTGTGCGGATCGAGGCCTCAGCCCCAGGGGCCAAGCAAACATGCAGAGTTATGGATTAACCAAGGCCCCAGACTGTCATGGCGGCAGGAGGGCGAAGCTGCCGTGTCTCCTGGATGCGCCACTGTAAGTCCCGCTCCAGGCAGGTCTGGGAGGGCAGGTGTAAGGAGGGGTGCGGAAGGGTAAGGGGAGCTGAGCCGTGAGGAGGGTGGGTTCTGCAGCCTGGGTCCTTGGAGGTATCTGTAGTCAAGGAGCATGCGGGCCCTGCTGCCAGCCAGGCCGAGGCACAAGCTGGCGATCCCCGGCCCAGCTGCCAACCTCCCAAGGGGCCCTTTGCCATGCCAGACTTCAGGGTTGGTGAAAGTTGGCTGAGGGTCTCCAGGGTCATTCCAGAACCCTCCTTCTCCCCATCCCGCCTGTACCTTTATATCTGGGGTGTCTGGTTTAAACAAATGCCACAGCACCCCGGCGGAGGGCTGGGGGTGTCCAGGCTGCAAGGCTGCGTCTGTGGCTTTCTGGGGACCCTCCAGGAGTGAAGGTCCCAGCCTGCAGCCATGCAGACCTAGACTGGAGTCCCAGGTCTTGTCACCTCCTGCCCGTGGATTTTTAATAAGTAACTTACTTCCACCTATGCTCATTTCCTTCTGTGAATTATAGATGACAATCTTTTTTTTTTTTTTTTTTAATTGGGAAGGCACGGGGGCGGGGGGTAGGAGGGGGAAAAGGCAGGGAGGGCGGGAGAGAGAAAGAGATCTTGCATTCATCTCTTCACTCCCCAAATGACTGCAATGGCCGGAGCTGAGCTGATCCAAAGCGAGGAGCCAGGAGCTTCTTCCAGGTCTCCCATGTGGGTGCAGGGTCCCAAGGCCATCCTCTACTGCTTTTCCAGGCCATAAGCAGGGAGCTGGATGGAAAGTGGAACAGTCAGATATGAACTGGTGCTCATATGGGCTGCTACTCCCTCTGCCCTTCCTGCTGGTTCAGGCCGTGGCTGGCTCTCAGTGCGCCAGCAGCCACAGCACCAGCTTCGGCCAGTGCCCCAGGAAGGAGAGCAGCGGCTGGGGGGTGGGATGGGGTGGAGCAGGCACTGCCAGGAGCTCAGGTGTCCTCCTCAGACAGGTGCCAGCAACTCCAGAATGTGGCAGCTTGCAGGCCTCCTACTGCTCATGGCCATCTGGGGCACTTCTGGCATACCGGCTCCTCCGGGTAAGAGAAACCGCACTCCCAGCACCTAAGCTCCAATGCCCTTCCCCAGGCCCTCACTGGCACCTGCCCTGCTCCCCGGGCCAGCAAGACTGGCTGGATTGATTGGCGAGTCCTAGGCCTGCCCAAGGCAACTGAGTGCCCTGGGCCTGTGAGGACGAAGCTGCATCAGCTTCCCGGGAGGACATGGGACCCCTTGAAGTGTCCACAGCCACCCCTGGCATTTGTCTCTGGGAGCTCACTTCTGCCCCGGACACTGTAGCATCCTCTTTACATGTTGGTCTCCTCCCCACTTTTTGGATGAATAAACTGAGGTTCAGGGAGGTAAAGATACCTGCTCAAAGTCACACAGAGGTCAAGTTGGGGTTCTAAGAGAGCTCTTGTCCTGGAACAGTCAAGGCTCCTGCCCTGGTGTGGCCATCGTCTTCTTGGGCAGGAGCAGAGCAGAGGTTCTCTCTATGTGGGGGAACCGGTCAAGGCCTCCATCCCTCCCTGCGCTCTCACCTCCTATCCTCACCTCCACTCACTGCCTAGGCCCCCACACAGCCCCCTCCAGCACAGTGAACCCCCACATCCCCGCTGTCCTTCCCAAACCAGACGTGGTGTTCTCGAGCAGCGAGCACGCCCACCAGGTGCTGCGGCTGCGCAAACGCGCCAACACCTTTCTGGAAGAGCTGCGGCCCAGCAACATGGAGCGGGAGTGCCGGGAGGAGGTGTGCGATTTCGAGGAGGCCAAGGAGATCTTCGGGAATGTGGATGACACGGTAATCCCCGTCCCCAGTGAACACCAGGGAATGAGCCTTAGCGGGCCGGGTGGCTGACCACCCACTCGCACCTGCTCCTCACTGAGGGTACCGGACTGACACTGGTCCTGGGGTCCCTATTGAGACCCGCGTGACGCTCAGAGGCAGAATTCAGCAGTGAGCTTCAGGAACGAGGGAGCAGGGAGCGTGGGCCCGTGCCATGCCCAGGCTGGGATTCCCACAAGGCCCCCCTGCAGGCAGCTCAGCTCCGTGCACCTGCAGGCGCCACTACTTTCTCTCTCGCTCCCCCTCTCCATATGGCCAAAAGCCCCCATCTCCGCTCTGACCCGTGCACCTGCAGGCCAGAGTGTGTGTGTGACTGGGACACACACTGCCCGTCCCCCCAGCCCCCAGCCGCCGTGTCTGTCCTCACGCCGTCACTCTGTACCTCCTCAGATCAAGACCTCAGGGAGAAAAATCTGAGCTCAGAGCCTGCAGCAGGTGCAGCAGCCGGGACTTGGCCGGAAACACAAACTGGTCTTAAGCTTTCTGAACCTGTGACCTAAGTCTCAGCAGCGAGAGACAGACTGCTGGAGATGGGGCCCACCGCCCCCGAAAGCCAGTACAGACGGCATGGGGAGGATTTGAAACTGTTAAGTGCAGAGAGCAATGGACCCTCCTCATTGCAAGGGGAAAGAGTGAGGCAAGGCGCAGGAGGAACACCAGCTCCTAGAGGCCGGATGCCCTGTTTGTCTGAAGCCCCTTGCCCTCCCCTCTCGCACCGGGGCCACCCCGGGAGGTTGAGCTCCCCTGCGCACGCACACAGACGGCCACTGACGGCGCCCCTCTCTCCACAGCTGATCTTTTGGTCCACGTACGTCGGTGAGTGTTCTCTCCTTTACCGCAACTCTGCTGAGCCCCCGGGCTGGGCGCTTCCCGCGGGGTCTCTATGCTATTGTCAGGAAAGGAGAGTACTGGATGCACGCAAACGTCTCTCACTGTCTGGCAGATGGCGACCAGTGCGAGGCCCTGCCCCCGGAGCACTTGTGCGACAGCCTGTGCTGCGGGCACGGCAACTGCACCGACAGCATCGGCGGCTTCAGCTGCCACTGCATCGGCGGCTGGGAGGGCCGCTTCTGCCAGCAGGGTAGGCTGGGCGCGGGGTGGGCTGTGCGGGGTCGGCGGGCGGACGGCGGGACCAGGACGCCGCGCCACCGCCGGTTCTGGCCGCGGTCTCCCCGTTGTCTGGCACAGAGGCGAGCTACTCCAACTGCTCCGTGAACAACGGCGGCTGTGCACACTACTGCCTGGAGGAGGCGGCCGGTCGCCGCTGCACCTGCGCGCCGGGCTACAGGTTGGCGGAGGACCACCTGGAGTGTGAGCCGACCGGTGAGCGCCCAGCGCCCGCGGGAAATCCGACCCTCTAAGAGAGAGGCATCTTACACTCACCGGTTCTGTCCTGGAAGAGCAACAGCCTCCAGGAGCAAGGGGCTCCATCCAGGTCTCCCACAGAGGGGCAGGGCCCGAGGGCTCGGGCTATCTTCTGCTGCTTCCCCGGGCGGGCGAGCAGGGGACTGCTGGCAAGTAGCTATTTAACCTACTGTGTTCCGAGGCCAGTGCCTTTGAATACATTTTAAAAGTCACTATAGAAGGGGAGGGGGTGCTTCGGAAAATTCGCTGACGATATGTATTATGTAAAACTGCTTTCCCCCCAAAATACCCAACGGGCCTCTTTTGATTCCACCTTGCACAAACTGAAGTGTTCTTGCACACGAGCAGAAAGTTTCAGAAGTCAGAACGTTGTCAGGTGCCTTGGTGGACTATCTGTCACATATTCTACTCCTGGAGACCCATTTTAATGACTTAAAAAAAAAAGATTACAGAGAGGGATAGACAGAAAGATCTTCCACCTACTGATCTCACCTTCCAAATTGGCTGTAAGGACTGCAGCTGAACCCTTCCAAAGCCAAAAGTCAGGAGCTGCTTCTGGCTCTCACGTGAGTGCAGAGGCCTGAAGTCTTGGGCCATCCTCCGCCGCTTTCCGACGACGTTATGCCTCGCACCTGCTAACCCACAGCGCCAGCCCCTTTGCCGATGTCTCCGATCATCTTCCTGCATGCTCTGCGTCCTCCCATCCTTCTAGGGTTGCTGTCCTTACTATTTCCCATCCTGTGGTCTTCGTGTTCTTTTTTCAGGGGCAATCCCCAACGTTTCATTTCATTTCTTCTACTAGGGTGGGAGGAGGAGGAGAATTCTTTTGTTTCGCAATAGCGGGCAGCTGCAACCGAGACCCCGGAGCGAGAGAAGCCTGCTGCCTGGATCGTTGGGTGTGGCCCCTCGGGGTGGGGCGGAGGGGTAGCCAGTGTGCAGCACTCCGCCAGACAAGGTTCACCTTGTGTTGGGGAGGCTGTTTGGCATGGGTGGGAGAACGTTGGGTGCAATGGGGCTTTCTTCACCAACCCCACCGGACACCTTCCCCCTGCAACTGAACCTGCACTGCCACCACTGGTGGCTCCCGTGGGCATCGCTCCCCACCGACCCTGCTACTGGCTGAGGCTAGGGTCTGCCAGCCAACCAAGTCAGTCGCCACTGTCCAGCACTGACCTAAAGGTCAGCTGTTGGTCATTCTGCAGACTCTGTATTTTTTCAGCACTCCCACACCATGCCTTCCTGTGGCTCCACCAGTCTAGTTCCTTCAGGCTGATGTTAAGCAAAGCAGGAGACTGACTTGGCCAACCTATGGTTATGTAGTTCTTCAGGGCGTGCTCTGTCCTCTCAACAGAGACCGCCGGGCATACTCAGGCTACCCTGGGGTTCCCAAGGAACCCAGCTCCTAACACAAACACTGACTCTAACCCTAACCCAAACCCTGGGGTGTTCAAGCTTCCCTGGGGCTCCCAAGGAGCCCACGCCCTAATGCTAAACCTGACCCTAAATCCAAACCTAACCCTAACCCTGGCGTGCTCAGGCGACTCTGAGGAGCTCAGGCCCCAACGCTAACCCTGACCCTAACCCTATCCTAGGGCTCTCAAGGAGACAAGGCCCCAATGCTAATCCTGACCCTAACCCTAACATCTAGCCTCTACTCTAACCCTAACCCTGGCCCTAATCCCTAACCCTAGCACTAACTCTAACACTAATCCTTAACCCTTAACCCCTCACCCCTTCCTTACCCCCACACCCTTACCCTTATCCTTGCCCTAACCTCTACTCTTACCCTAACACTAACCCACAGGGCAGCATCCGGTCCCGACACATTCCTAACAAGGGATTACCCTCAGCAGCCCTGGGTATAAAGGACAACCTGTGTATTGGAATGATGCTTCTGGATTTGCCTCCCACCGTTAGGGGGTGGTGTTTGGATCTTTGTTGGCTGACACACCATCCACAGGGGCTGTGTCACTGGAGCATCCTTAGTACCTGTGCCCCAGGAGTCCTACAATGGGGCAAGGCAGCCTGCAGCAGGAGGACAGAGTGGGGAGGGCAGTGCCGGGCTGGCCCCTCACCGCCTCCGTCTGTGTCCAGTGAGGTTCCCTTGTGGGAGGCCAGCCCGGAAGAAAACGGAGAAGAAGCACAGTAACTTCAAGCGTGACACGGACCAAGCGAACGAGATGGAGGACATGGACCCGCGGCTGGTGGACGGGAAGCAGACCAGGCGGGGTGACAGCCCCTGGCAGGCAAGTGGGGCAGCCTCTGTCCTCTGCTGGGTCGGGATCCCTGTGCCCCGCTTGGGCTGCAGGGACGGGGACAGCCTGTCCCTAACAGTTGTCACCTATCAGGACATCCCAGGGGTGGGGAGTGGTGGGTGGGGGTAGTTTCCAGGAAGAGTGGGCTGGACGTGAGCAGACATGCAAGAAGAGGCAAGGAGGATGGTGTCTGCTGGGGTTAAGAGGCCAGAACCGTGGAACATCAGGTAAAGCTGCCACCTGTGGTGCCAGCATCCCATATGGGCACAGGTTCAAGTCCTGGTGGCTTCATTTCTGATCCAGTTTCCTGATAATACACCTGGGAAAGCAGCAGAAGATGGTTCACGTGCTTGGGCTCCTGTACCCATGTGGGTGACTTGGAAGAAGCTCCTGGCTCTGGCTACACCCAACCCCAGCCACTGCGGTGCACCCGGGAGGGAATCAGTGGATGGAAGACCTCTCTTTCTGTTTCTCCAACTCTCTCTGAAACTCTACCTTTCAGAAAAAACATATTTACTTTTTTATCGGAAAGGCAGACTTACACAGGAAAGAGTGGGGGGGGGGGAGAGAGAGACAGAGAGATCAATCTTGCATCCGCTGGTTCATTACCTAAATGGTCCAGGAGTTAGGCGCCTGAAACTCCTTCTCATCTCCAACAATGGCGCAGGGACCCAAGCACTTGGGCAGTCCTCTGCTGCTTTCCCAGGGGTGTTAGCAGGAAGGGATCAGAAGTGCAGCCTCCAGGACTCAAACTGGGCTCAGACATATCAGATGCTGGTGTCACAAGAGTAAATTTAACCTGCTACACCATAGTGCCAGCCCCATGCTTGCCAAGGTTTTAGGTAGAGGCTCTGCCGATGGGACAGAGCTAGGAGGGAGGGCTGACCCCTGAATATGTCTATAGTCTCGGCACAGGGCCTTAACTGTTCCCACTCCCTGCCAGGCACTGGGGGTGAGGTGGAGGGACGCAGAGAGCAGCCAGCCTTGGGAAGCTCGCAGACCTTGGGAGGGTGAGGATCCCACACACAGGGCAAGCCAGAGGGATCGGTCAGGGTGGCTGAAAGGACAGTGGATGAAGGAAGTCCAAGAGAGATCCCCAAGGCAGCTCGGGCCACAAGCCTTCCCTGGGGCATAAGACCAGTACTGTCAAATACGCAGAAGTCAAAAATGCCAGAAAATGCCATCTATCCCAGTATGCCCAGACACCCAGGAAAGCACTTGACCCTGTATATAAGAGCTGTGCCCTGGGAGCCATGACCACCTCATCTGCTTCCCTCCCCCGTTCCAGGTGATCCTGCTGGATTCCAAGAGGAAGCTGGCCTGCGGGGCGGTGCTCATCCACACGTCCTGGGTGCTGACGGCTGCTCATTGCATGGAGGATTCCAGGAAGCTCTTTGTCAGGCTGGGTGCGCACAGGACCCTGTGGGGGGGCTATCCAGGTGTGGGGAACCCTGCATCCCAGGGTGTGGGGGTTGGGCATCTCTGACTTTCCACTGGAAGAGGAGGAGGTGGCCTCAGCATCCTCTCCCTGCTCAGCCTAGAGCTGGGGGACACCCAGTATTTTTGCAGGTGGAGGATCCTCTGGGGACCCCCTCAAGCTGGGCACTCAGGCATGTCAGTGAGGGGCACACACATTCCCTCACACGGGGCAGGCTGGAGTTAACCCCGGGGGGGTGTGGCCATCCATGAGACCTTGACTTCAGGGCCAACCCACAACGGGGTTGGAGCTGGGCAGCAGGTGCGTAAGTATCTGCAAAGGCTGCTGGCTGCCTTCCTGGTCTTCTGGGTTCCAGATCCATGAACCTAGTCCCTTACCAAGGGTGGTCCGCCTAAGGCCTACAGAATAGGGTCTGGCCCTGCCAAGACTTTCAAAGCTCAACCCATCTGTTAAAGTTGATGATTTTGTACAGCTTTCAAGATGACATCATAGACACCCAGACAGCTCTGAGCAGAAAAAGGCTCCTCACCAATGTTGCCGGTGGGGGTGGGGAGGGCGGAGTCAGGGGGTGTCTCTCACTCAACCTGCCATGCAAACAGGAAGGGCAAAGTGTGCTGACAAAGACCAGGTTCACACTCCCATGACCTTCAGCACAGCCAATGGCCAGCATGCGCCGGGGCTAGGACTCTGAGCCCTCCATGCTGGAGGGTCACGCCCAGCAGGACTGGGCTCCAGATCTGCCTTTCCGCAGTGGTGCCTGGGTCCCCTCAGTGCCCCACTCTAAGGCCGGCAGCCTGAGTGCTTGTCTCTCCTTTGTAGTGTTTCCAGAGGCCTGCTGTGGCTCCCACTTGCATCTGCAGTATTCCAGGCCTGTCTTGCTCATTGCGTGCCAGTGAGTCCTGCATCCAAGCCTCGTGATGCTCCTTTAAAAAAAAAAAAAAGATTTATTTAGTTTTATTGGAAAGGCAGATATACAGAGAGGAGGAGAGACACAGAGAAAGAGATCTTCCGTCTGCTAATTCACTCCTCAAGTGGCCACGACGGCCAGAGCTGAGCCGATCCAAAGCCAGGAGCAGGAGGTTCTCCTGGGTCTCTCATTCGGGTGCAGGGTCCCAAGGCTTTGGACCATCCTTGACTGCTTTCCCAGGCCACAAGCAGGGAGCTGGATGGGAAACGGGGCCACTGGGATAGGAACTGGTGCCCATATGAGATCCAGTCGCGTGCAAGACGAGAACTTTAGCTGATTGTTTTTTTAAGGCCACTTGGTCTGGCAGAAAAAGTCCCTGCGGTTGGGGATCTAGGACATGGGTGGGGACACATAGCTGGGTGGGTAGGTGTCTGCAGCTAGCTCTGACAGCGTCCTGTGTCGGCCTGCAGGTGAGTATGACCTGCGGTTCAAGGAGCGATGGGAACTGGACTTGAATATCCAGGAAGTCTTTATCCACCCCAACTACAGCCGGAGCACCACGGACAACGACATCGCACTACTGCGCCTGGCCAAGCCTGCCACCCTCTCGCAGAACATCGTGCCCATCTGCCTGCCGGACAGCGGCCTGGCTGAGCGGCAGCTCACGCAGCCTGGCCAGGAGACCGTGGTGACAGGCTGGGGCTACCAGAGCAGCCGTGAGAAGGAGGCTAAGAGGAATCGCACCTACATCCTCAGCTTCATCAACGTCCCAGTGGCCCCGTACAACGCATGCGTGGAGGCCATGAGCAACGCTGTCTCCGAGAACATGCTGTGCGCTGGCGTCCTTGGGGACCGGCGCGACGCCTGTGACGGCGACAGCGGTGGGCCCATGGTGGCCTTCTTCCGAGGCACCTGGTTCTTGGTGGGCCTGGTGAGCTGGGGCGAGGGCTGTGGAAACCTCAACAACTACGGCATCTACACCAAGGTCAGCCGCTACCTTGACTGGATCTACAGCCACATCCAGGGAAAGGAGGCGCTGCCTGGGACCTCCACTCCCTAGTCCCGCGTTGCTGGGTCTCTGGGTGGGTTGTTGGGGAGCAGCCACAGGCCTGCAGGAAAGGGGGTGTGTACCAAACGCACCAGCCTGCTGTCCTGTCTGCCTTCCTGTCCTTACTCTGGCTAGCCCTGGAGAGTAGCAGTATTTATGGAGCTCCTACTGTATACCACATGCTTCATAAATTCCTGAATCTTAATGAACTCTGTAAACGATTCAGGCTGGGGGAGCAAACATAAGCTTTGGGAAGCTCTGACGCTGATACAGTGTGAGTGTGTGTATGTGTGTGTGTGTGTGTTGTGGGGAGGGTGGTGGGGAGAGCAGAGTCCTTAATCTGCTGAGAATTAAAGTATATGGCTATGAAATAGCTGCTGGCTTTCTCAGGACCTCAGAAACAGCCTGCATCAGCCAGACTCACAAAATGAAAGCTCCTAGCTGAGCCAGCTAAGCAGGTAGAAGTTCCTGGCTCGGGCCAGAAGGGGAAGGGTGATGCAGCTGAGACCCCAAAGCCCACTTGGAGGGCAGCTGGCCTGACACCTGCTGAATGTATGTGTGCCTCCTGGGTGAGGGGGATGTGGTCAGGGTCACAGGAAGATCACTGTCTTCTGTGTAGCCCACAGTGGGTATACACACTGGCAGCTGGGGCTGCTGCTCCCAGAGCTCCGGGAATTGCACCGAGTCAGTGGCTATGTCCTCCCCAGGACCTTCCCGGCCTGACTGATGGTCAGTGAGGAGTAGGTAAGCAAAATGTCCCAATTTGAAATCCAAGTGGACTGCTTGGGGGAGGAAGCTGAACGAATCCATGCTGAGCTGACCCTCACTAGCCGTGAGGTCCTGGGGCAGGTGCAATGCTTCCTGCTGGGTGTGCATCTGAAGGGATCCATGAGGGCTGCTCAGCTGGCATAGCCGTCTTCTCCACAGAGGCCAGCCTGGGAGCCCATGGGCCCGGGTGGGGAAGGGGAGTACCCTTCACACTTAGCAGGGGTCCCAGATGGAGCAAGAGGTGCGGGGAGAAGGCTCTCTCTCCCCTGGCCTTGGACATCGGAGCTGCAGGTCCTGGCCTTGTGCTTCAATAGGCCATCCTACCCTTAGCTTGTCTTCTGAGGCTTGGGGACTCGGGCTCAGCAGCGATGACTGTCCTAGTCCCCCAGCTGACAGGTGGTGGTGACCATCAGTCTTCTCTGGCGACTTCTCGGTCTCCTGGTCACAACATCCAACTCCCACACCAGAGTTGGATGTGTGTGCGTGTGCATGTGTGCGAGTGTTCATCAGTCATATGGCTCTTTCTAGAAAGCCCTGATTGAAACTGTTGGGCATTCATACAAGGAGGGATGAACCAAGGGCCTGGTTCTGTGATGTATCAGGTTAAGCCTCCACCCGTGACATCAGCATCCTATATAGGCACTGGTTCAAGTCCCAGCTGCTCTACTTCCCATCCAGCTCCCTTCTAGTGCACCTGGGAAAAACAACTGAAGATGGCCCAAGTGCTTGGGTTGCTGCACCCATAGGGGAGACCCAGATAAAGTGCATGGTCATCTGGGGGACTGAACCAGAAGATGGAAGCTTTTGCCTTCTCTTTCTGTCTTCACAACCCCTCTAACTGTACCTTTTAAATAAATATAGATCTTTCTGCAAAGGCGGGATGGGGAGAGCTGAGGCTAGAGCAGTGACTCTCAGCCTTGGCCACCTACTCAAGCCTCCTAAAGCACTCTGGAAGACCCTGGAGTCCAGGCCCACACTTGGAGATTCCCATTGCACTGAGTTGAAGTGTGAGAGGGAAGACCCAGACCTTGATGTTGCTACAACTCTGTTTTTTCTTGTGTGACTGGGTTGAAAACTACTGAACCAGTGGATAGAATCAGGGGAGAGAGCAAGAGAGAGGGAGAGAGAGAGAGAGACAGAGAGAGAGGGAGAGAGAGAGGCAGAGGAGAGGCAGAGAGAGAGGGAGAGAGGAAAAGGAGAGAGAGAAGAGGAGAGAGACAGAGGAGAGGGAGAGAGGGAGAGAGAGAGGGAGAGAGAAAGAGGCAGAGGTAGAGAACCATGGACAGATCTGAGGGAGTCAGCTTATAGGATTCTGGGGCATGGTAGCCCTAGACATGCAAAGTGGCCTCACAGGCTGAGAGCTGGGTGGGGGGACAGCCTGAAGCCATGGCAGGCAGCTGCAGGGTCCTTTTTGCTCAGGGAGGTCTGTTTTTGTGTAGTGTCACCCTTCGGCTGATCAGATGAGGCCCACCGGCACGTTGGAGAATGACTTGCTATTCTTGAAGTCTACTCATGCAAAACACAGCTGCACAGAACACATTCACAGTCATGTCCGAGCCCATACCTGGGTCCCCCAGCACAGGCGGGTCAACACAGGAGGTGAGCTATCACTGTCGGGCACTAAATCATGGGTCCCTCTCCCAAAAACTCACAGCAGGAGTTGTCGCAGAGGTTACAAGTTAAGGCGAGGCATACAGTGGACCTCTAACACAAATGATGCTTTTGGGTGCAGACTCACATGGAGGGGGATGACTTGAACACACAGGGACCTTCAATGTGGGGAGAGGGATACAGAACAAGTACTGGTCGCCCCAAAGAGAAAGGCCAGAGCCAGCTTTCCCTGACCTCTGTGGGCTCTTGGACTCCAGATCTGTGAGACAATCCAGTTCATAGGGAGTGGGTTACTGAGTTCTTGCCACACTCTTGCCTTGCACCTGGAGAAGCATTCAGTGCCGGAGTCCAGCTCCAGCCGAGTTCGGAACTCGAGAAGGGTGTGTGGACAAGGCGTAAGGAGCAACGGAATGGACCACTACGATATCATGATCATCATGGACAATACGGGAAAGCTGTCCTCTTTATTTGTACAGAAGCAGTCAAACCCTGGCTCAGACTTTTTACGTCATAGTCAAGTGGGTGTTTCTAAGGATAATTCTGCCGTTTGTTTCACCTTAAAGCAGGATGTTATCCATCCTGACCCTGTGGTCAGGAAATTCTCAATAAACGGTGCATATCAATCAGTAACACATTCCTGCTACAATCCTCATTCTACAACTCAATCTTGAATCAGTTAAGGGAGGAAATGCATCACAGAAGGAAGGACTTAAAGATCAAGGAAAGAGGGAAAGAATAGATTCCCACTACACCTAGGGACTTTACACCCTTGATTAGCATATTGTCAGTGGGGGCAGCAATAATAAAAGGCCCTTTGGTTAAAATGGTATCAGCAACATCAACTTCCAAGCTCACATTGGTAGTAAACATTAACTCTGCAGAGGCAGACAATGCTTAAATAGATTATAGAATACTCAACGGGATTGTCCAGTGTCCATGTAAAGGGAGGTGGAGCTGCATTCAGGTGGTTGTAGAGACATACATACAGCAGAAAATTCCTTGAGGCCTTGCCTGCAATGGAACAATACTCTTCACACCTTTCTGTCTTCCACACCCATCACATGGACCCCAGCAATTCAGCACACGCACAAGGTGATAGAGTTTCACCTTCAAGATGAGATGGCAAACACACAGACACACATACACACGAACAGAGGATGCTCCACACAGAGAGGGGTGGGGGAAAGGAGACAGAGCATGAGCACCCCAGCAGCCCATCAAGTCCAGGTTACCAGGAGAAGAGAGGGCTCTCCTTCTAAGTTGCTGAGCTCTTAGGAGGTCTGAGAGGTAGGTGATGCTACAGGCAGGAAGCCTCATGGGAGTTGTATGAAATTCCACCTCCCCATCCCATTCCAGGATCTTGATACACAGAATATTCAGGACATCTCCACAAGTCCCAGATGAAACAGAAGAATTCCATCAAAGACAGTGTTTTGATTGGCAAGTAGGATGATACTGTTGTTGGACAACTGCCCCAAATTAGCTAGAGGGGCTGCTCTAGAACTCCCAACCCAGGTCCAATCTCTTCAAACACAGAAAGCCAGTCACCAGGGCTTGGGTGGTGGGAGCTTCCAGCAGCCTGGTGGCTATTGGGAGTACCCAAGCCAGGTCAGACTCAATGCTTGAGGCCGGGGCCCTAGCCACAGCCACCGCTGCCAAGTGGTGAGTGAGTCCCAGGCTTGCCTGAGCCTGAGAGGTTTCTCCCCTCATAGTAGGTACGCTTTGAAGGGATCTCTTGGGAGCTAGGAGCGGTCCCTGGCTCTGCCCACTGCCATCATCTTGCAATGGGACCGGTCTAGGGGAGTTCAACCTTAGTCTTGGGTGCTGGGAACTTCTAGCATCTGCTTGGGATACCTGAGCCAAGTCAGACTCAATGCTTCAGACCCTAGCCACAGCTACTCCTGTCAAGCAGTGAGCAAGTCCTGGGCTTTTGGGTGGCCAGCACATCAAGTGGCACTGGGCTCTGGCCATTGCCCACCAGGCAACAAGCCCTGGGGTCTTGGGCTGTGGAGTTACTGCCTAGGGACATCCGTGGATAAGGCCACTGTGCGTGTAAGTAAGGAATAAATCCTGAGGGACTCCCAACAACAGGGTCACTATACTTGCAGTTAAGCAAGAGGACTGAGACCTGGTGGTTTGGAGGGGAGATACTGGAAGATCTGTATGGGTCAGACTGATAACATCAACCCACATGGGAGTCCTGAGATGGGCTTGTTATCATGAAACACTGCTGACCACCACACACCAGTTCATGTGAAAGCTAAGAACAGGGGCCTGTCTAGCAGGATTTGGGAACCTGTCTAGACTGAATGTTGGAACAGGGGACAGTTCACATTAGGCGAGGCCACGATACTAGCCAGCATGTGAGAGAACCAAGTCTGGGGGTAGATTCTGTGGGAGACATGTGGGCCCAACCCTATGGAAATATAAGTCCCACTGATTAGTTCAAGAGTTGGGGTGGGGATGGGCTGAGCTAGGCTTGACCATGGAACCTGCCATCATTCACAGGTACAGGGACTGAGAACAGTCTGGGCTGGTTCAGGTTGCAGCACCCACATGTACATCCTAAAACAGGATGTGGGGCAGGCTAGGCTGCAACATTCACCAGCTCATACAAGGCCAAGATGGAGGGG